GCAAGGTATTGCAACACAGCTAGTTCTGGGGAAGAAAAACAGAAAAAAAAAACCCAAAACAAACAAACAAAAAAAGTAAATACTGAAGAGCAAGATCTGTAGGGGAAAGGTTTGGGAAAAAAATAATTTTTTGAGCACACAATCCCTTCTTAGGGAAAAGGTTTGGGAAAAAAATAATTTTTTGAGCACACAATCCCTTCTTTGGGTCACATCTTGCCTCTCCTGGTTTATTAAAAAATTATATCTTCAGAAGTATCTTTAAACCAGCTTGATTACAGTGTTACATCAGGGCTAGAGACAAGTATGACAGTGTGTTTAAAATATTCTCTCTGGTATTAAAATCCAAAGCAGCTTTGTATTTTCTCCACCCTGCATTTTCAAGCAAAAATGTCATTAACAATAGAAGAAATCTGGAATATTCTTGGTTTCTATATCACTAAAAAGACTCATGGCTGCCTCTTGAGATACTGCACAGCCTTTACTGTGGTTTTTTTTATTTTTTTAATTTTTTTTCCTGTAATGTTTCATTAATGCTTTTTAGCAGCTGCAGCCAGGGAGACTGACACACAACTGATGGGAAAATTATTTGATTAGGTTATGCACATGGAAGAATAAATAAATTATTTAATATTACAGTTACACTTGTACATGACCTTTTATCAGGAACATTTAGTTTCATTTATTCAGTTTTCACTAAAGCTAATTAAAATGTTGTTGGTTTGTTGGTCAAAGAACCAGTATAACTGAAAATGTGATGTTGAATATTAAGCATACCTGAACTTGTCTGACTTCTTTGGTTTATTTTTATTTGCAATAGAAAAACTAATGCTTGTAACACAAAACCTTCAATTTAAATATTGAAGAATTTATTTTGGAGATGCTACTACAGTGTCTCCAGAGAATTGCCATTTGGCTGCTTTATCCTATTGTTCACTTTCTTCACCTCCAGAACATGTCTGCCTTCAGAACCATAGCTATGTCAGTGTTTTCATGCTAAGTGCTCTGAAGTAATAAGTTATAAAAAACCGAAATAGCACAGACCTTGAAAACATAATAAATGTATTTCTAAAAAAAAGTCAGCTGGTGTTTTTTCAACCCAAGGATTTAACTTCTATACTTTTTTAACCCTTTCTTAATGATACATGTTATCGACCTTCTTCTTTCAAACTGCTTTTGCCTGTTGACTCCACAAGGGGGTAGGAAATCCTTTCTCACAGCTCAGGCTGTGACAGAAAAGATCCAACGGAAAGGAAAACAGTGAACTTAACTATTCTGACCACACGCAGGCACTGCAGACAATACCTGCGAGCTGTTGAGTTGCAAAGCGTTTAAGCATTCAAATATAGTAATTGTTTGAATAAAGATCATTGGCTTTGAATGTTGTTGCTAGAGGCATTACAAGAGGAGGAATGAGTATGGTTTAGATGGCTGAGATGCTTTTTAAGTGTGTCTTGCTGTCCTGCATGTGCAAACTGGGATGTACCAGAGAGGAAGAGAACCATGGGGGTGGTCTCAGACTGAGCTGCCCAGTTGGATGTAGGAGCCTGAACTCCCTCCTGAATCCAGGATTGGAAACATATCATTCAAGGGAAAAATTATCTCTTGCTAGAATCATTCACAGTAAAAAAGATACAACCTTCTGGCCTGAGAATAATAGTCTGGTTTTGATATAGACCAGAATTCATGCTAAAACAGTTCACTGTTATCTCAAGCTGTTATTGTGTTGAGGGATATTCAAGATGATCCTAATGGTGAAATTAAGACACGAACGAGTTCAAATGTCACATGCACACCAAACTGTATTAAAGTCACACAACAACAACCTCAGGTGCAGATAGGATAGGAGGAGACAAGGAAAGTCAAGAAAGCAGCAGAAATACCGAATGTTGAAAGAGACAGGATAGTCACCATCATAGATCCAGTGGTGTCCTGGTGGTCTGCAAATTTCAGTCAGTCAGTGGAGAACTTCCATGTGTCAGCTGTGCCACAGCCCTTTCAGAGTCACTGTCCCTGTCCATTCTCTGCCTCTCCGAGGGACAGGGGTGAAGATTCTTGGAACTAATTTCCCTTGTCTCCTCCTTCATGATTCATGTTTTGTCTTCATGACTCAGACGATTATGTGCTTTGTGTTCATGACTCAGGTGGTTTTTGTGCTTATCAGGCTTCATGCTAACACAAAGTGTCATTAACTTTGTGGTTTCTTTCCTTTATACAAGCCAAAGCAAGAAGCCTGCTTGTAGTCTGTTCAGGCCTTGGGATTTGCTTCATATCCTGCATAGGGAAGCCTTGTGGTTTGCTTCAGAACAATGTTGAGGCATAACAACATTACCCCACCCTGTGGCTCAACATTTTTCTGTGGTGGAACAACCACATTAAACATAAAATAGCACAGGGTTAAAACAACCCACCCAATAGGCCACTCGTTGGTTTAGAGTCCAAAACGCACATCAGTCTCCCATAGTTAAAAATACCCCAGGTCCTCAGTATCCTTCAGTTTCTTGTTCACTTAACAGAACTTGGTCTCCACTAGTTAATGATACTAGCCAGACCCATTTTGGTTTCCTTAGAAGACCAACCTAATTCTTTTTATTAATTTAGCCAATTCAGTAGCAGTAAAGGGTATTTCCTTAGTTACAACAGTGGGAGATTGATGTTGATTTTCATCATGTGTTTACTCAGCTTTTATCAGTGTGTGCAATCGAGGCGTTTCCTTGAGTCAGTTTTTGTTTCCCACAATTAATCTTGTGGGTATAAGGGGAAGATCTGCCTAATTCCCTTCTCCTTCATTCATACATCTGTTTCTGCTGATGCATCACACTGCCCTACCAATTTGTCCTTAAGAGCTTGCTTTAAGATAAGTTACTCATTTTTCCCCTCTTCTGGTTCTCCCTTCAGGTCCTCAACCTGATGCTGCTGGGATGCTACCAAGTCTTGCAAAGAATCAATGGTTTTAGTTTTGTGTGTGTTGTGTTTTCTACATTCTTTTAATGCAGTCTGGAAAAAACAGACTAATAGATGAGCATGTTTTTCAGAAAAAAATAACACGAAACAACTCACCATGATATTTAAGGAGAGGAAGAAATTAAGAGACCTGCTATGCTTGCATCTGAACATAAATGGTGTGCCCCAGTGAACTGAATGTAAATAACACATTACAGCATAAACAACGGACACTCAGATTCTCCAGTGGACCAGCAGGTGTGGTCCATTAAAAATTCATGTTACTCAGATGCCCTAGGTTTTGAGCAAAGCAGTGCTTTGCTCAACACCAAGTTTAGCACCAACATGAAGTTTAACAGCAGGTAGAACAGCATGGCTCACCACAGAGTTGTTCAAGAACCAAATCCCACCATCTGACAGATCTGCAAGACCCCCTAGCCAGAAGGACTACTGAAGAAGATCTAGCTGCAGGCTGCAAGTTGGATAGGAAGACTGACCAAGTAGACACTCCTTTAACATCCAAGGGCACACACTTGACACACACAAGGATTGACATATTGGAACCTCACAGATAGCTGCAAGTTGTTCTCTGAAGATCTGTAGTCTGGAAGAAATGTTGTCTTTGTAGGATATGTGATGTATTAGGCTATGAATAATTTATGTTATATGCTCAAAAAATAATATAATAATTACTCAAAATATCTCCAGCTGCATCATGTGTCACCAGCAAGATACCTAATACATAGAAGAATTTTCAGAAATACAAAATTGTGGACTTAGAGAATTAATTATAATAGAATTTCTAGGGTTGGAAAAGACCGTAAAGATCATCTAGATCCAATCCCCCTACATGGGCAGGGACACGTCCCACTAGATTAGGTTCCTCAGAGCTCCTTCCAACCTGCCATTGAGCATTTTCAGAGATAGGGCAGCCACAGCTCTGGGCAACCTGTTCCATTGTCTCACCACCCTCACACTAAAGAATTTCTTCCTAATGTCCAACCTAAATCTCCCCTCTTTCAGTTTTAAGCCATTGGCCCTTGTCCTCTCACTACACAGCAACTACCACTTGTGTGACATACTAATAAAGATGTGATAATCCAAGAAATAAATAGATATTCAGGTGGCTTTTTGGTAGTCAGACTTTAATAAGGACAGAGTATACACTGTTTTCATACCAGAAGAAGAAAATCAGAGGTACAATTCACAATAAAAACACTGCAGTAGCTGTGTTCAGTAACGACAATTTAGCCAACCTTGTTTTAAGCATGCAAGTGATGTGAACTCTGGCAGTGACTCTTACTGATTTCAGAGGGAGCTCAGCACAGCAAGGACCTCAATTAGGGGCTCCAGTAGAGTATTAAAGTGTGTTGGGGTAAATATAGGGTGAGTTGTCAGCAAGTATGTTTTATAACATCTGGAGCCTAATATCTAAACAAAGAAAAGACAAGCACATCTCCATGTGAGCAGTGCTCTCGTCCCAAGTGCTCCTCCTCAAGTACCAGACACACAGAGAATAAGGGCTGAAAACCTGATTCTGGTGTTTCCAGGGGAAAAGATCAACTTCTAGCCAAAATTACACTCAAATTCTATTTACTTGGGGATAACAGCAGACTCTTTACATCTCCTAATACCCCAGACACAAAAGGCTGACAAAGACTGTCATCGTATCAGCTTGGGATATATTCAGTTTAGGAGATTATTGATGATGAACCTCAAGAAAGATCAGCTGCATGCACACAAGATTAGGTGAAATACTGAGTTTATGGACTGAAATGGAAAAAAAACACCAAACCACAATGCATTAAGAGATTCAAGAGAGACTTAAACTCCTGTAACACTATCACAAGCTAGTGTTTCACTCATTGAAAATGAGCAGAAGTGGTAAATCAATTTTGTATAAAATTAACCTGATTCTATTAAAGTAATATTTGATGAGATAATTCTACAGGACTGACTCATAAAATTTGTGTTGTGCATTTCAGACTGTTTACTAAACCATGTCCAGTAATGTATTGTTTATTCTTCATTTCTAGAGCTGTTGTCAGTAGTAGAATCTTTTACTGTGACTGATCTTCTGAAAAAAGTTTTGTTGTACGAAAATGTGGGTTAAATATTTTGCCTTTTAAGATATATCTGAATGTTTTCCGAAACCATGGATAGAAAAAGCCATATATTAATGGATTGCAAAAAGAATTTAAATACCCAAGCCAGTTTAGAGTATCAAATAAAGGTAAAGGAGTAGAAAAATTTAAAAATGGATCAATTAAGAGTGCAAAAAAACAAGGAAACCAGCATATTAAGAAACCCAGCATAACTATACTCAAAGTCTTGGCAGCTTTCCTATCTTTACTCTTAGAAAGCTCATTTTTCTTATCAGTTTTTGTTTCCCTGTGTGCCTGGCTCAAATCACATGTGTGCCTTTGGGAGACTATAAAAATTTTAATATAAATCCCTATCATAATGCAAGCAGGAGCAAATAAACCAACTGTAAATAAAACAGCCCCCCACAGTTTGTTGAACATAATAGGGCATGAGCTTGAGCATTTAACTAACATTTCATAGCCCTCAATTCCAGAAGCATAAGCTTCTGAGCAAACCACACCAAAAGCAAAAGCAGCAGGCACTGACCAGCACACGGCTACAATTTTTTTTATGGCTGTGACAGTCATGGTGCTGATGTAATGCAGGGGGTGGCAGATGGCATAAAACCGATCCACAGCAATGGAACAAAGATGGAAAATGGAAGCTAAGCAGAGCATCAGGTCAAAACTGTAGTGAACTTTGCAGAATGTCATCCCAAAATACCAGCAGTTCTCCACAGACCTCACCATGCTGTAGGGCATAATGGCAAAGCCCATCAGGAAATCTGTGACAGCCATGGAGAGGATGAGGAAATTGGTTGGAGAATGAAGCTGCTTGAAATACGAGATGGAAATGATTATGGCCAGATTCCCAAAGATGGTGAGAAGGAAGGCTGCTGTTAAGAACAGATACATTACCCCGCGTACTCCTGGTGACCTAGAGTTCTCAGAACAGGATCTATTTTCAAACTCAGAGCAATCAGTCAAATCCTTTGAGATATTGGGAGAAAGCATAATCAATCCTTTATTCAATTTTTCTTCTGGGGATGCAGTTCCAGAGGCAGATTTAATTTTTTCAAAAGATTCCAAATCCTAATACGAGAGTACAAGACAAAGTAAGTCAAGAGCATGAATTAAATTACTGAATGAAATGCAGAGGCAAACTTTCTCTTGGCTCAAACAGAGACCAAATGAAACCCTTTTTTTTTCTGAAATGGTATGTGAAATCTCATAACTGGAAGCTATTGTAAAATTAATTGCAAATAATATTTAAAACAAAGTAATTGAAAGTAAAATTATTGATATCTTAAATCAACTTAATTCATTAATTAATTTATTAATCTTTTTTTTTGTGCATTCGATTCTATCTAGAGTATTTTGTAAAATATGGCTCTTGTATTTTATATAGGTCATACTATCAGTAATTTTTAAATTGTGGAAGAAAAAGATGCATAAACAAGGAAATTCAAAGAGTTCAGTCTGTAAATACTGTGTAGAAGTTACCAATTTCTTTAACCTTAGACTGTTAATCTCTTTTCTGTAGGACATATATTATGCTAATTCACATACCTCAGCTTTCTTTGAGATTTCAGTTAATGAACTATTCACCTAAATGCCCATCTTAACAATCACAAATCAGCTGCTAAAAACTTCTCCAAATTATTGGTGATGCTAAACTCACCTCCTGTGGATTATTGAGTACTCACAATGCACACATCTGATGAAAATCAGTCGTAAAATTGGCATGATAAGAAATACTA